GTCTTTGCTTTCTAGACCTGTCTGGTTTCACACTGTGTGTTTCCTTCTTGAGCTACTGAAAGAACATCTTCATGTGGGAACGTGCTCTCGTGTGGCGCTGCTGGCACAAATCGGTGCCACCTTTGCATGCAGCAAATCCCAGTCAGGGGCAACAGCAGGGGCTTCAGTGGGTGGGAAGGCCTTGATGGCCCCCACTTAATGATGTTATGCACTGGTAGTGTTTTATTGTGTCAAAAGTTTTAACCAAGAGGCAAAGCAACTGAGCCAGATGTTGTGCATGGCTTTGGAGTGACCTCATGTGGCTGTGGCTTGTCACAGCGTTTGTAAAGGATGGCAGGGAGTTATGCTAGGCAGTAGAATTTGACATCCTGGGTGTTTCTGTTTGTTCTGTGCTTTTCTTCCTCATAAGCAGGGTTGTTTTCCCTTTAGAGCTGATAAAAAATGAAGCACGAGTGGTTGTGAGCATTGGGAAAATCAAGGGAGTTCCTGATCCTAGCACACTCCAGGAGCTGGAGGTTGGGTCTGAGGCACCAGTGATCACCTACAGCTACTGTGTGGCCTACGAGTTTGCGGCAGAGGAGACTGAGGATGGTGGCACTGAGGTTGGTGCTTAACTGAGCTCCTGAAAGCAATAGACGCTGGCAGGCCACAGTGGTGGGGACATCTCCAGAATGCAGAGCGAGGCCATTCATAATGAACCTGCCATGGGCAACAGTAGTGCTAAGGACAGAATTCACAAGTGGCCACATCCAGCAGCACCAGTCTGTGCTGACCACGTTCCCTGTCCTTCCTGGGGAGCACTGTTCTGCACATGGAAAAGTATTTACAGCTCTCCTAATGCTGGGTGCTGCAGACCACTCCCTGATGCTGGTGCCACTGTGCAGCTCACCTTGCTCTGCCCTTTCTCCTGATGGCTGGAATGGGCTGGGAAATGAAATTTCAGAGGCATGCTGTCCTTGAGCCTGATGCAAGCACAACCAGACAAGCTCTGCCAAGAGGGAACGTCTCTGTTCCAGGTAAAAATTCATCAGAGTCCTGTGGTGGCCACTGTGGACGTGGACAACTCTGCATGGGACATGAGGGAAATGAAGGGCCAGCAGGAGTGTGCAGCTGTGGAGGACCCCACACAAACTGGTAATGAGGAATTACAAATCCTACATCCCCTGGTCAGGGTAGTTTATGGCTTTTCTAGAAATGTGGTGGCATCAGTGCATCCCTTGTGGCATCAGCCACAGCTAGGCTGTTACTGAGATTGATGGATAATGAATTGGCATTGGTGTCCTGGAGCCATTCCTGTCCTCAGGAAGTAAAGGTCTCTCTTCAAAAATTTTTGTCTTTGCACAGCAAAGGTGTGTGTCACCCCTGGAGAGCCCTGGGCAGACATAATTGACTGCAGCTACAGAAAAGAACACACTGTCAAGGATTTAGTGGGGCTGAAGGACTACCTGCGAGCTGGAACGATTGTCTCGGTAGTGGAGGAGAAGGTGAGCACGTGGCAGGTCTGGTTGAGGGACATGGACGGGAAACTGCTGCCGGGGGAACTGGCAGTGGCATTAAACTCCCTCTAGGAGGCAGCATTGTGCAGTCCCTGCAGTACCTCTCCCTCTCTCCTGCAGGTGCTCTCGTGGCCCGTCAGTGCAGACTCCGAGGAAAATGCAGTGAAAAGTGGGAAGGAAAGACGAGGGGTAAAGAAGGACAGCACCAAGGTAGGATGCTGGGAGGGAGCAATGTCCAACTACCATCTGAGCTGCAGTAATAGTGATGGGGGAAGGACAGACCTTCTCCTGTGTCAGTTTTGGGTGTTTTCTCCATCCTATACTTCTAGCCAAGGTTTCTCGTGCTGTGGGAAGAAGGCAGCAACTATTAACGTGCATCTTGGTTTGGATGTAGATATGTGGGCAACGGGCTAATTGCTTTCTGTCTGATAAAGGGACCCCATGCTCAGCTGACACTTGTGTCTGTACTCGTGCCCTGCAGGGTCCTGGGCCCAGAGACAAGCAGAAGAAAAAGAAGAAGAAGGAAAAGCCGCGTGAGCTTCGCAGTGACCCACCCATTCAGAGGATCCTGGGTTCTGAGAGGGTGGCCCTGGATGCCTTGCTGGCCACTGAGACGCTGGTGGCAACTGTGTGTGACTTTGGGATCCTCATCACTGAGCAGCTGCTGCAGTCACCAAGTCAGGAGGAGAAGCTGGTAAGGAGCTGTACGAGGGGGCAGGGCGATGTGGCTGGGGAAGGGACCCAGCACAGCCTGCCCTGCAGCATCCTCACATCCATGCCTCAACTCCCTTCTCCATGCAGTGCACCTAAAATAAGCTTGCTGGAGAAACACCTATCCATGCAGGCATTGCTATTTAATGTTATGTTAGCAGTAAGTACTATTATTTTTCATGGGCCCATGTTAAGAAAATAGATGACTCTATTTTTCCATCCAAAATGCTTCTTCTGATGCTCTTTCTCTCAAAACAGCAATACACACCAGCTGTTCTGACACTTTCCGTTTCCTGGAGTCCCTTCTCTTCTCCAAGCATCTCTTCTGCTATGTTCCTGCTTCACATCATGCCTTTCTTCAGCCGTTTGAACGCCGGTGACAGAACCCAAGCAGCAATGGCTATCACAAGATTGAATGAGGGCAGTGAATTTCGACACCGCCTGACTGTGGAAATGTCTGTCTCCACAGGATAAGAAAAAAGGCAAAGACAAGAGCAAAAAAACAAAGGCAAAGAAGGAAAGCCAGAAAGCCACAGCGCCTGCCAAAGGTGACCGAGGGCTGGCTGGGCAGAGCAGTATGTGTGAGCAAACAGCAGCAGTGCCCAGTCCTGCTGCCAGCTCTGCGGAGCTGGGCACTAACTCACGTCCTGAGCCTTGGCTGTGAATGCTGCCATTGATGTTGTGGGACAGGAGGGTTAGGCACACACACATGTTGTGTCTGGGCACGCACTGAGGGTGGGCTGTTGGCATGCGTCCTGGGAGCAATGAACACTCACGGCTCCGTGAGCCAGGGGAGAGGGCAAGGCAGGTTGTGGGATGAGATATTTGCTGCCTGTTATTTCGGTTGCCAAAAGCAGCCAGTGGCCTGGAGTGGGGCGGGCCGCTGGAGGGGTGATGTCTGGGATGCACAATAAGGTCCTCATCCATTCCCAACTCATGTCTCAGAACACTTTGCAGAGAGGATTACTGTTCTTTCTAGTTGAGAGACGAAATGCACAGAGAGCCCTGGGTGCCCTGGCCTACCCAGGAATAGACTCCACTCTGCTGTCACCCTCAAAGAGGCAACCCAACCCTTGTTCCTTGGTGCAGAGCTCATGGTTGCTCTGTCACCAACATTGCTTGAGCTGCTGGATATAGACCTCGCTCTGCCTCTTGCAGGGATTTTTTTTTTTTTTTTTGGCTACAGAAACAGCAGCACCAGCACACCTGTGCAGGAGGAATTTTGAGAAGGATGAGATGGCTGAGAGCGATGCTGAGAAGTCATTTGTGGGTTAAGGAGAGCTACCTAAAAGAAGATTAAACCCCTTGAATCATCACTGTGCTGATTCCCCATCACGCAGTACTCATTTGCAATATGTGCTCAAATTGCAGCTGAAGTAGTGACATGCTGTCATGCGACCGATGCTTTTTTCTTCTGTTCCACATGAGTGCCTGTGTTCAGTGTGCATGCAGCAGCCCTTCCTTCTAGCTTGAGGAACAAACCCTGTCTGTTGGGGGTTGCATGGCCAGCACAGAGAGCAGCTGCTGATCCAGGAAACACCGAGTGGTCAGAGACTTCAGGTTAATTTGGAGTCTCAGTTCCCTGGTGCAGGCTGGGGATGGCCACTGAGTGCATTTTTCAGAGTGCATCAAAATCTGTTGAACCCACAGCTCAGTACCCCAGTGCTGAGCTTTGCTGTGACTCATGCATCACAGGCACACTCCAACCACAAGGCTGTGGGGGCAGGTGGGCTGCTCGGTGTGTACGTGACTCACCAAACTGCACCGTGTCCTGTGGTTCCTTTGGTGCTCACTCCCCACCAAACTGCTGTGGATTAATCCCCCTGGAACTGCAGCAGCGGGGCACTGGGCAGCCTCCCAGCCTGGAGCTGAGGCTGATTTGCATCCCTCCGCCGGCACATGCACACAAATAATAAATCCTCTTAGGGACATTGGGATCTCTTCCAGGCAGCTCAAAGAGGGAAGGCAGCGAGCTTTGTCTCGAGCAAACTATTTGCCCGGGCATTGAAGGATGTCTTCGGAAGTAGTCTCACGTAGGTCTCACTTTAACCCCATGGATTCATTTAGTCCCATCTTTCTTTTTTCTTAGAAATTACAGAGCGATTTTTGCAACAAAAAGCAAAATTGCACGCAAATTGATTGCCTTCTTAAAGATGCTTATTATGCTAAGTCGTATTCAAATAGCTTTTCCCTTGGGGCCCCGCCGTGAGTGCTAACGTGGTGGGCATACCCCCATGGACACAGCTGCTTTTCAGGCTATTTATTCTACAAAGACAGAGACTGATTTACTGCTTTCCACAGGAAAAAGAAAAAAAAGACGTTCTGCTGAGCAGGAGGAGGGATGTGGGCTGCAGCCGGTGCCGCTGACGGTTGAATTCCAGATGCAGCTGCTTCGGTGGCCCACGGCCGGCGCCCAGAACGGGGAGAGCAAGACCGAGGCTGCAGGGAAAGCTCAGTGATGCGTCCGTAGCCAAAGAGTGAGCAGCAGAGATCAGTGAAATAAAACCCGCAGGGATGCTGCCATGTTGCTGGTTTGGCTGAATCAATGGGGTCGGGGGATGGCGTGGGGGCTCCTGCGGGAGCTGCAGGCGGTGGGCGGGGTGGGACGTGGGTGTGATGTGAGGCTGTGGGGAGATTGGGGAGCAATCTGCCTTGTGTGGTTGGAGACTTGAGATGCAGCGTTGTGTGCTGTGTGTGTGTGCGAGGATCGGGGTACGGCGTGTGCGTTGATTTGGGGTGCAGCGTGCTATATGTGCGGGGATTGGGGCGGAGACGTTAGATACCGGGGCGGGACGGGAGGCGGATCCCAGGACGGACCGGAGCTCCTGGGCTGCTCTGCGCGACTGTGAGCGGAACGCGGCTCCGTGCGGTTGCCGGTGAGTGTCGGTGCTGCTGCGGGACGGAAAGGGGCCGGGCCGAGCAGAGCCAAGGGCGGGCAGCGCACCGCAGCTCCCGGCCGAGCTGTGCTCTCCCTGACCCACGGCTCCGGAGCCCAGCGCCCCGCTCATGTCCTGGCCGGCAGCGCCTTGCTCCTGCAGCCCCTTCTCCGAATTCGCAATAAGACCCAGAAAATTCGGGATGGGAACTGTGGGGAGTGGTCCGTGCGGCGCCGGCTGCGGCATTTCAGCGTTTCGCTGTCTTCTGCTGGGATCGTGTGCTCCGCTCTGCCTGCGGAGGGCTGCGGCTGCAGGCATGGGTGCTCTAGGATGGGAAATGGAAAGTGTAAGTTGGCTCGGTTTCACTGTTAAATGCTTCTCTCTCCTCACTCGGACAGGGCCTGCATTCTGCACCAGAGGTTGCAATGTATCCCAGGATTAAAAGCCTTGCACTTTATGCCTTTTCAGTCACGCTGCTGGCATCTCTTTTTTACATCAGAAGAGAAACGAAGCTGCTAACGTCACCAGTGGATCAGAAGGTGGATGTAGCAGATCCCAAACCTTTGGTTCTGGGCAACGCTGAACCCAGCAAATGTTTGCCTGACTTGGCCGTTGCCAATTCTTCTCTCTCCCTCCCAGCGCTTCACCGCATCTTCCTGACTTACAGGCACTGCCGAAACTTCTCCATCCTGCTGAGGCCTTCCAGGTGTAGCAAAGAGACCTTCCTCCTGCTGGCCATCAAGTCTGCCCCAGTCAATATAGAACGGCGGGTGGCAATCAGGAACACGTGGGGCAAGGAGGTCTCCATCGGCGGCAGGCGCATCAGGTTGGTGTTCCTTCTGGGGCGCTCGGAGGCCAAAAACCAGGTGCAGCCACTGCACCAGCTGCTGGCTTATGAGAGCCAAGAGTTCGATGACATCGTGCAGTGGGATTTTGTTGACAACTTCTTCAATTTGACCCTCAAAGAGCTGCATTTCCTCCGCTGGTTCATGGAGGACTGTCTGAACGCCAGGTTTGTGCTGAAGGGTGATGATGATGTCTTTGTCAACACTTACAATATTGTTGAGTTTCTCTGGGATTTGAAGCCTGAACAGGACCTCTTTGTTGGAGATGTGATCGCTAATGCCCGGCCCATCAGGAACACAAAAGTCAAGTACTTTGTTCCTGAGTCTATGTACCGAGCTTCCTTCTACCCTCTGTATGCAGGTGGAGGGGGCTACGTGATGTCCAGAACGACAGTACAACGCCTCCAGAGCACCGCAGAGGGCATGGAGCTCTTCCCCATAGATGATGTCTTTGTGGGAATGTGTCTGGCAAAGATGGCAGTGGCCCCAAAGAACCACGCTGGCTTTAAGACTTTTGGGATCCAGAGACCTTTTAATTCTTTCGATCCATGCTTTTACAAGGAACTGATGGTTGTGCACAAACTAAACCCAACCGAGATGTGGATCATGTGGACGCTGGTGAAGGATGACAGCATTAGGTGTGCGGTGTCAGTAACACACACCCACAGAAGGGGCTGGAAGTGAAGCTACTGCTGAGCACAGCAGCAGCTGGCTGTTGACAGATACAGGGTACTTAAACTAAAAATCAGGTGGTAGAAATGTTTTCTACTAACAGGTTATACTTGAGCCATGGGGTTTTGTTTTGCAGTCGGTCTTTTTCTGTCAGTGGGTTATTGAGGTGGTTGAATTGTCATGGGAAGGGCTAACAGCTTGGAGATGCAGCACAGGAACTTGGCTTGCTTCCTCCTGGCCGTGCTGGAACCTGGGTGAGCCACAGCTGTCACAGGTGACGTGAATGAAGTGCCACCTCCACTGGAGGCTCGCAACACTGAGACTGGTGTCTAATTTGTTCTCTTTAGGGAAGCTCGTGATGACTAATGAGTGACTATACTTGAAATTAATCTTTTGAAATCAAGGCAAGGGTAGAACAGAGGCCAGCGTATGCTGCTGTGTGCACAAATCTACTGTCCCAGATCAGCAATCCTGCAGGTCCTACAGGACAGCAGGAGAAAGGAAAAGGAGTGGGAAAAGGAAAGCAAGGCTTGGAAACATATTGCCTTAACACAGCACAGTGATCACCCAGTGATGTGAGGGACTGGGCTCCAACTCGAGCCGTTTGATTTTACAGAAGGTTATTACAGGCTGACTTGCACTGGAAGCTTTTGCACACTTTCTGATTGGGTGTCAGAGGAAAAGTATGTCCTGAGTGGTAGTAAAGCACAGTGGCTGCAGCTTTTCAGGCTGTGTAGGAGGTGTTTGGGACTTATTTGGTTTGTTTGGTTCTGTAACGTTGAGTATAAATAAAATACAGTTTTGAAAATGTTTTCATGGAAATATTCGTGTGTCTCCTGAAAGCTAAAAGAACTACAAGTAAAAAGAGGCTGATATGTGACACTGGGTATGTGCACAAAGGAGCCACTGATATTAAAGAGGATGGGGTTATGTGGAAATAGAAACTTGCCACATCCTCTTCTGTTCTCATCCCCCCAGTCCAGACATGATGTACTAATATGGAATCAGCAATTCAGCTGACAGTTCTGAGTAACTAATCTGAGAAATGATTAAATTGAAGCTAAGTCTTGCTTATACTTCTATGAAGCTTCTCAGCTCCAAAGTGTCCTGCAGCTACATGTGCTGTGTGTGAGCTGGCAGTGACCTGGAAGCTTTAGAAAATATCTAAGGAAAAAGAGGAAGTGTACAATTACAGAAATCAGAGTGTTTTGTGTTGTGCTGCTCATAGCTGTCTTGTGTTCACCGTCACCAGATTTGAGCTGGAATTTTCAGAGGTGCCTGGGTTGTCCTACAAGGAGGAATTCCTTGTTTATGCTCCTTAGAGACTTGAAGACATCCCTAGCCCAGAGATGTGACATGCATCCTGTGGAGGCTGGCTGCCAGTGTGGGGTGCAATACTGTCAGTTCTTGCTTAATATTGTATTTTCTTTGCTGCCTTAGCTTCTTAAAGCACCAGGTGTAGTTTTAATTTAGCTCTGTTGTGTGACCCAGGCTCTTATAGCATGAGTTGCAACCCCCGTGTAAGCTTTTTCTGCTAGGTATGAGTAGGTGTGTCTGAGGAACTTAAGGGTGATCTGTGTTCATCCTCAGCAAGCTCTTGAACAAGCTGCTAGCATATTTCTCACTGCAGCCTTAGCAGTATTGTCTGAGATACTGTCTACAAATAGCTTCAGATTAATTGGCTTTGTAAACAAGGTTGAGTATCAGGCAGCACTTGGTTTCCCGGCGCTGTTCTCTGTGTACTACTGCTTGTTCCGGAGAAGGGATGTGACAGAGCAGTTTGGTATGACGTGAACTGCTGTGGCAGCTTTTTTCTGTTCCCCTAAATGATTCCAAACGCAAACTCAGTAACATCATGCAGTGAGTGCTGTTATGGCTCTTCTGGGCTTAATTGTGTTAGTTAATTTCTGACGTGCAACTCACTTCTCAGTGAAGGGTTGGGGCTTCTTTCCACTCCATTTTGGAGGTAATGTCAAGCCACTCATGAATCTATTTCCCTTTTTGATTTGAGCTGACTTGCTACTTCCACATCTGCAAGTCTGATGTGAGTAAAGTTTGGGTCATACTGTAAAACAAGAAGTGGGCAAGAGGGAGTGGGGCAGACTCTGCAAGGGGAGAAATTGGTGGGAATATTCCCAGCTCCTGGGTTGATGTTCATCTCCTTTAAGGCATACCCCTATGCAAGTATCAGAGTTATTGCAGCATCTTGACTGCTACACAACCTGCACACGCCTTTCAGGCAGTGGTTTGGCAGGAGTTCCTAAACTACTGCACAGAGCAAATAAGTGCAGCTGTGGTTAGAAGCCTGACCTGAAGTTGCAGTTAGCTCTTAAGGATGTGGTTGTGTCACATTTACAACTTTGGGACCCTCTGACCTACTGGCACAGCAGACATTAGCATTTTCCTAGGAGCTTTGATTCCAAACTCTACCATTCTCCTTAGATACAGCAGTATCCAGTCAGGAACAGGAGCAAAGAAAGGGTGGTTGTTTTGTTTATTTGTTTTTAAAAACTCTTTTACCTTTTAATTTGTAAGTGTACAATGGTGTGCAGCTGAGATTGCAGTTGTTCAAAGGCAGACAAAATGAGACAGACAAAGGCTCATGTTCAGCTGAAAAAATACCTTGTCAAGCAGAACTCAGTTTAGTAACAGCAACCTCAACACAGATGTAGTGCATCTGATGTTAATGTGCAATGCAAAATCTTACGATGGTGTGCCTTCTTAGAAAAACTGATGAATGGGGATTAACTGAGTCAAATCAACACTGATAAAGCTCTATCTCGTCAACACTATTCTACAAAGCAATCTCAGCTGAAGTTTTATTGCTTATACAGTTAACACTGCAAATTTCAAATTAAGCTGTTAAGTTAGAAAATGAACACAACGGAAGATACCTGTGGTTTTGAAATCAGTAGTTAAACATTAAGATTACACAAAGAGAGAATGAAGATTATTTTCTTGAAACTTTTCCTGGAAAGCGCTCAAAATCGTAAACCTCACTTTTGTTGACCGCTTTATATAATCTGCAGCAGTTTCCACAACTGCTTTGCAACACAGTACCTTGAAAATCAAATCTTTTCCTTCCTGGGGAAGGCAGATACCAAGCACTCGCTCTTGGGTGAAAGAGGCTGTCATACTGAATTGTGCAAAACATCTCTAAGAGGAACGTGGTTAACTCCATAGCAGGTTTTCAGCTCTACCAGCAAACAATTCCCTTGACTGCAATTAAGTGCAATTCAATATAGCTATCAGACTCAACTCTGTTACAAGCTTTTAAGTCAAAACAGAAAACAGCACTTTTATCTATGGTATAGATGTATATTATCTTTTATCTATGGTAACAGTTGGAATGAAATGAATTTGCCCAATCTAACAAAGATATCTACTAACAGACATCATTTACTACACAGGTTAAAAATAATAACTTTTAAATACACTTCTTTGGTTGATACCTACTTAGCCTCTATGTAAGAGAGCTCTCACAAACATACCAAACCACTGCTAGGATCTTCCCAGCAGACAAAATTAACAAGCTATCGTTGATAGCAATTTACACATTTGCATAGTTAAACACTTAAATAACTGAATCCATAATTATAAACACAGTCAAGGCCTTTCAGATTCTTGGAATTGACTTGATCTGTAAAGCAAGCCTATCTGGGGGTAAGGGGTGGAAATGGAATCACAGGCTTATTTCAGAGGTTTCCCACTATCTAACCCTTAAAAGTTTGGGACCCTTCAATTTCTGATTGATTCTCACATATTCTAAAATGACACCTAAATTCATGTCAGTCTTCCCGAAGATAAGGGTCCTCACCTGCATCTGTACTTCCTAAAATACCCTGAGGCAACGAAGATTCCTCTCCTTGAGCTTTTAGGAGCTCCTCTGTTTGAGCTTCAGCTAACTTGGTCTCTGCCTTCTGGGACAGCTGCCGCACTTCTTGCACCTGTGATTTGATGAGCTGAATGTGGCTACGAGCTGTCACCGAGGCTTGATCTGCACCTGAAAAGCAGTCATTTAAATATACAGGGTTAGACATGAACTCAGCAAACCTTCAACTCAGAAAGGAAATGTCTATAATTATCACCTGCTTTGCTAAGTGTTTTGATGGTTCTTGGGCTATATTAATGCTAAACGCATTTGCTGTTGATTTACCTTAAGCAATATGCCTACGTGAAGATTTCTGTGCCCTCCTAATTCTTCCCACCTGGCCAGATTTCAACCAGGATCCAATCAGACTGATCAGCTTGGGCTTGAAAACGAAGCCCTGCCCACTCACTGCCACAGGCACTTTCGGTTCTTGTGCGGTAGTCGAACTTACCATCATCTGGGACACTGCTGAATGTAGAAACTCTATGCTCCTACAGATTCTACGTCTTTTTCAACAGTTTCATCAGGAAATCCCTCCTACACAGGTAGCCTGCCCCTATGTATTTACTGTTTTTCCTTCTCTTCTTTCTCTGCCCCAATATTTTCTCTGATCTGCCCTAAGTCAGTCCATAACTCAACCTCAGAGCTATCAAGTCTCTGCACGCTCTGTGAAAGTGTTTATGCAGGGAGAAAACAAAATTTGTATCAGTGAATGAAAGGTAAATATTCTCACTCTTTAGTAAAAGGGAATCCAGCTAGGGGCACCAGCTAGGCTCTAGGCATTGTTATTTTAGTGGGTCCCAGAACAACATTTGAACACTGCGTTTGAAAATAACACTTTGTCAAATATTTTCTGGCATGGTTCCTATCAATATAAACAGTATATGAAGTTTCCAGCCCAGTTCCTAGTTCCAGTACTAGAGCTGTGGCCAATAAAGTAAGTTCTTAGCACTGGTAAAAACCAGCATTAATTCTAAACTGGTACATTATTGGAATTTATATTCCCTGTCTTTCCCAACTCCATTCTCATAGAATAAATGCTGCCTAAATATTACGTGAAAGATTCTCAGTATTTCTGCTTGAGCATACCTGATTGATATGCAGCTTCTGCTGCCATCTCTGAAAGACGTAATGCTGTCATCCAGCTGGATTCTAGCTTTAGGTATTCTTGCTGTTTTGTTGTCATCTAGGAGTAAAATGATTATTCAATTTGATATGAGAATATCTGAATGCTGTTCCAAACAGTACCTCTTGAAAAGGTGAGCAAGTGATACTACAGCTTTCTGAGAAAAGCTGAAGAGGCAAATTGCTGACTGTGATACAAGTAGCAGCTAGTTAAGTTCCTTAAAGGACAACCTTGTAATTTGTTTAGAAAATGGGAAGGGTCTGTGTCTTTGTATGGAAACAGATAAGGCATATGCCAGGAGACTTTGGAATAGTTAAGGGAGGTTCCACCAGATACTGTATTTGAACAGATAAGGTTCCAGGACTCTTTGTATGCAATATGGATGTACCTCCAAGAAGACCTCTGAAGATTTATCAACTGAAGGCCCTTTTATGCAAGATATGTGTGATAGGAGGGGAGTATCCGCCATGCATCCAGCACTGATGTAAAGAATTCCTACTTTCTAACACTCCAACTCGAGACCTAGAGAGTTTCCTGACTGCCTGCTTTGTGGTAACAACTGAAGGGAGATGAAGGCTTACATCAACTCTGGCTCCTATTACCACCTGCCAGACTGCATCCACTTCGTCTGAGTTCATCTTCCCAAGAAGATTTGTGTATTGCTTGTAGAGAGACACCAACGTATAAACTGCCTGCAAAGGGATCGTTTCACACAGTTACATGAAAATCTATAGATGTTGGCTCACTGTTAACTGGTGTTAATGAGTCATAGAAAGCAAAAGAACTAACCTGTCTGTACTTAATCTCCAGTATATGCAGTGGGTAACAAAATCGTTGAATACTTCCCAAGGTGCTTTGCTCTTAAGTTTGCTGGTAAACATGTTGAAAAAAGGAAGGAGTATACTCTGACTCGAGCACCAGAACTTTGATGCTCCAAGACTGCACATCATTATGGGCTTCTCAAGATTCAGAGCATGCAACCACTCTGATTTCCTACTCTGAAAGCCCACTGCTTTCTACCTGTGCTAGAACAGTTCCTTGCAGTACCACAGAAATACATTTGTACTGCACAGGAAAAGTAGAAATATGTAAAAGTACATTAGCCCATGGAAAATTTGGAAATACCGATACAATTTGCTGTCTGCCTACCACAGGGCCACAGTAGTCTCCTTCATATACTTGCCATAGCAATGAGGCAATAATGCTTGTCAAAGTGATAAGGAAGGACTGCAAATACTCCATTCAAATCAGCACTTCTTTCTAAAATTAAAATTGTATCTTGTTATTTCAAATTTAAATATGGCTTATTCCATTCTTCTGATGAAACTTATGGAACTTCTAATCAAATTTATGGACTTAGAAATAGGCACAGAAAGTAAATAAAAACATAGGGCAGCATATCCTATGTACTCAATGTGCAGAAATCTGATAGCTGCCCTTCAGTTCTGCTCTGAGTAACCGGTCTGAGTTTCTTCAGCCCCAGTTCTGAAACACAAGTCCTTTCAACTTAAGTTCAAGATCAGAGGAAAGGTCTAACAAACCTAAAAATAACTTCGACATTTAGTGTAGTAAGATAACAGTGAGTCCTAATCCGTAATTTCCCAGGGACCTGAAGTAAAGTGCATAATCTCTCATCTTACCTTTGTATACTCTGTCAGTGCTTCAATCAGTGCATATGTTGTTTGAGAGAGGAGAGTGGAAGTACTGTCTGTTACCAAAGAAACGGCTCTTTTAATCAAGGCGTCATTACTGAGAGGAGCTGAGTTCTGTTTCTGGAATACAACAAGTTTGCATTATCGTTACACTGACTTCCATTCATATATTATTGGTAACTAATAATGATAAGTGAGCTAATCACAAGGCTGGGCAGCCTACAGCAAGATACTAGTACGAATTTGTCTGTAAAACAAGGCCATTTTTTTTCCCTACAATTTGTTGCAGGGAAATGTTTACCTGCAATGAAGGTAAACATTGCCTTTCTCATTTCTTTAACAACTGCATGGCATCAACACCTGTGATCCCTAAGGCAGAATCAAGGCGGCACAAAGGAAAGTACCAGCTTACAAAAGGCTAAGCACGGGTTTCTGAGTACCCGGAACATACAAGGAAGGCTTTCTAACACGCTGTACGTCCACCACCGGAGCTCCCTTACCTCCACGACCGGGACAGCACACAGCGCAGCTCCCAGCCCTGCGCCCACCGCGCGGTGCCACCGCCCGGCCCCACCAGGAAGGCAGCGCCTGCTGCTGCTGGGCAGCGCGGGGAGGCCGTGCCTGGACGTGTGAGAAACAGAGTGAGCGATAACAGCAATAACAGAGCGGGGGTGATCTGCGGCAGCTGGGGTACGTGACGCACAACGGTGCTGTAATCACGGCACG